CTGACCTTCATTTCCCGGACGTTCTTATCTCGGGCCCTCTCCATCCTCCACAGCTCTGCCATGCACTGATCCAGGGTGGTGGCTCTGCGCTGGTATTCCAGCTCATACTGCTTCTGGCTTTCCTGCCAGGGAGAAACCAGGCTGGGTGAGGAACAGGAGACCCAACCACCCTGTGATGCAGCTGGGGTCCTGCTCTGATGGCTGGTGGAGCATCTGAGTGCCCCTGAAACCAGCCTTCACCTGGACCTCTGAGAAAAAAAAGTCTTTCTTTACCTTTCTCCTCATTTTGAAGGGCCCCAGAGTGCTAATGAGCCTCAGGATCTCAGGAGGGAAAACTGGCACCCAGCTCCCCTGGCACTGGGAGCAAGCCCCCAGGCCTCTGCCTCCTGCCACGACTCTACCCACTGGCATGGCCAGCTGGGCTGCAGGGGCACCCACACCCAAGCAAAGGCTGTGGTCTGGGGAAGCTCAGAGCTCTGCTTTGGGGATGCCAAGACTTTCAGCCCTGCTAAAGCAGTTGGCACATCCCACTGCACAACTCCTCTAGTTCCCTGCCCTCCTCAGTGTTCCATCATCAGCCAGACGAGGGGCTTTGGTCCATGTTGGAAGAAGAAGAGAAGACCCCCTAAATCCTGCTGAGGAAAGTCAAGGAAATGCCTCAAGTGCTCCACCACAAGCCCTTGTGCAGAGGGGAGAGGGAAACAAGGAGGGTTGAGGTGGAGAAGGGAGTTCAGCACTCACACTGATGAACTGCACATCCATTTTGGTGTTCTTCTCCATGTGCTGCAGCAGATCCACGTGGAAGGTCTGAGCCTGGAAGAGGCACAGAAGACATCATCCTTGTCCCTTCACCACGTGGAGCACCAGGCAGGCTGTGGGCATGCCAGCTCTGGAACACGTGCAGCAGGGAGAGCAAGGAGGCAGGCAAGGAGAGGGCAGGAGATGGGGCAAATGCCAGCATGCTGTGGTTAAAGAAGTCCCTTTTTTCCCTCCCATCTGCACCAGCCCCTGGGAAAACCACTCACCACAACTTCCAAATCAGAGCTCAGGAGTCTCTGTGTGTCGGACATCTGCATCAGAATCTCACCTTTGGGGAAATAAATAGGAAAGGAGGAGAAAATCCTGTGGCCATTTCCTGAGCTCAGCAATGTGCAACTCAGGCTGTTGATCTACAGGTGTGAAAGTCCAGCAGATACCACGACGTGCTGCTCTCTGCACCCTGAGACAGGCTGGCAGCCTTCCCCCACCCAGGGCTCAGCCCCACCACCACTCCCCAGGCACTGCCAGTGTGGCCTTGGCTCCAGCCTCTCAACTGGATTTCCCCCCCACACCTGCAAAGGAGGAACAAAATGTTTCCTCTGAGGTGAAAGCTCTCAGGATAAGATGTCTCAGCAAGGAGACATCTGTGAGAGGTCCATCACTGGAGGTCCATCCCAGGAGCTGAGCTCAGTCGTTGATCTCAGACACTTGCAGGGGGGTGTGCTGGTGCCTTGGGGATGTTCAAGGATACACAGATTCTACTCTTACTGCTTGGACGGGGCCTGGTGCTGTGAGATACCATTCAGAGGACCTGTCTTCCACCCCCCAGCAAGTGGACAGGGACTAGGTAAGGAGGAAGACCAAAAAAAAAAGCCTCACTGGGGCTCATCACAGGGCAGAGGATGGTGAGCATAGGAGCCTTACCCAGCACGTGTGAGGTGGAGCTCTGCAGTGCTTGCTCCCCAATCTTCTCAATCGCCTTAAAATACACTTCAGCTGCTTTGGACAATGCTGTGAGGAGAAGAGGGGGGAGGTAAGGATCTGAACTGCCTTCCCACCACCACCACCAGCCTCAGCAAGCAGCACACAGGGCAACCACCCCCTACTACCTTGCCTAATAACAGCAGCGGGTCCCCAGAGGAGAAGGAAAATGAGCAAGAGCAGCTGAGGACACGTCAAGATGAGGACAAGCAGCCTTGCCCTGGGGGACAGCAGCCCCTCCTGACACACCCTGGACACCCAAGATGGATGCAGCAGCAGGGTCTGGAGCCTGGGCAGTGGCAGGACCCCACTCACCATGGAAGGCACGCAGGTAGTTGTTCCCCAGGTACACCAGGTTCTCCAGGGCGGGGTTGAACTGCTCCAGAATACTCTGTGGCCAGGCAGAAGCAGGTTAATGCCAGTCTTCCCCACACCCCGGGGACCTCAGCATGGGCAATGCCCTCCTGCTGAGGTTCAGCTGGGGCACTGGATGGATGTGGGGATGTGGAATCCTGCACAGAATCAGCCCCCTGCATCCCTGGTGGCTGCTCTGCCAGGAGAGGAGCAATGCCAGAGGGCAAGGTAGCCCACTGCAGAGCCAAGTGGTCACCTGCAGCATGGCACTTCCAGGCCATGCAGCTTGCTAAGAGAAGGGGTGGATTGCTTCAGATCAGCCTCTCTATCCTTCCCTGCTCTACTTATCCAAGGTGTTTGCTGCCTACAGCAGAGCAGAGGTTGGAATAAGCAACGAATCCCCTCTTCTCCCAGCCCTCAAGACCTCAGCACAGCACCGATGTGTGGAGGGAAGTGTTTGTGGGATCAGACTGAACTCAGCCAGCTGAACTCCTTTCTGGTCACTGAACCAAGTGGTCACCCATCGTAAGTATGCTCTGTGTCCAAACCACCTCAGTTGCCCAGCTCCTTCCCAGCTCTGCCTGAAGACCTCCACCACCCTGTTCTCCTGCCAGCCATCTGCTCTCAAACACAGCCCAGAGGCCCCAGCAGCTGCTGGGGATGGATCCAGCCCTTAGCTGTCCACTCTCCCAGGGAGCTGTTGGCAGAGAACAGCTCCTTCTCTTCCCTCCTACACGTTTCCTCTGGGCAGATGAGAGCAGCCTTTGCTCTCAGCACTCACCTTATAGATGGACATGGTGGATCTGTAGGACAGGTCCATCTCTGGAGCCTTTTCCCCTCTCCCACAGGGAAGCAAGGAGCAAAGGAGAGCCCAAAGTGCTACCCTGGCCTGGAGGACTCCAATTCAGGAGGTGGCTGGCTTGGAGAGAGCCTGGCACTGGCAGGACAGCAGGAAGGCACAGACCTGGCACAAAGGGAGCCGAGCGCTGCTGGAGTTTAATAATTCACCAGCCCGGGGGCTGGAACTTGATCCTGGAAGTAACCGGAGTCTGGGGGGAGAGGAATCCTGCGACAGCCAGCAGGGGCATGTGAGCACCTCCCTGCATTATTCATCACCCGGGGAGGGAGCCCCAGGAAAAAGCAGGAAGGAGCTCCTGCTCCTTCCATCCCAGGAGAGGGAGTTCTGGTTTTCCACAGGAAAGCAGGAAAGAGAAAACCTTCGCTCCACGTTAAAAGGCTGTTAGCTCCACAGTCTCCTTTGTGAAGGTGAAGACCAGAAGGCAGATCATCAGCTTTGAGCCCTGTCTGTGACTTGGCACCCACTCTCCTGCCAGAGATGCCCCTTAGGAATCCGTGGGCAGCAGGTACAGCAAGCTGGCAGCAGTTACCTTGTCCAGGAACCACTGGGGATATCAAAGTTAAAAGCCAAATTCCTGATTTTCTACCTGGATGAAAGCTCAGAGACTCTCTGGGAGCTTGCAGGAGGGAGAGAGACACAAGACAACCACGAACTGTGTGCCAATGTGGCAAAGTTTAGGGCTGGGGTGGCCACTAGATGAATGACAGAGGCTAACCCAAACCAGGACACAGTGGAACCAAATGCAAACCTCTTTTTATTTCAGGCCCCATTAGTTTTGCATAGAAGCACTGTTTACAACAGCAGTCAAATGCAAATCACTAAGAAATCAGTTTTTCAGGTTACTCCTCAAAACACCTCCAAAAGAGAGACATAATTTATTTATAAATATGCAAAATTTCCTGCAGAAACACGGAGCAGCCACGATGGGATTTCCAGCAGTAAAAACACTAAATCCAAATAGTCACAGGCTCAGCTTCTTTGGTAGGAACTGATGTCAGTGTTTCAATTCCACATTAAGAATAGAGAAAGTAATAATAATTTATTAATAAAGAGTAGCCCAGCAAGTCAAGTGGCACAACACAGGCTCGGGGGGTGGGTGTCTACTCCCACCCCAGGGACAGTCAGTACCTGTGCTGCCAGCCCATCTCAGAGGGGAAAGGGGAAGGTGCTACAGAAGACAACTGGCTCAAGAAAGCTTCCCCCAAGGCCAGCCACAACATTCCGCACCACATCTACTGCAGAAAGCTGCAGTGTTTCCACTCCCCTTCAAATCAGGCCTGTTCAGGGAAGAATAATCCCTTTTCCCCACACTATACACTCCAAAGCACTTTGGCCCCAGTGGGCCAAGCAACCCCCTGAAGCTTTATCTGGCCTTAGCCCATTCTGCAATGTGGGAAGGTGCAAAGTGCTGCAGAGCCAGGAGAGACTCCAGCTGCTACAGCTCCAGACAGGTCGTTGGGGCTGTGCCTGCTGGGGAAGGGCTCTAAGGTCAGACAACAGGGCAGCAAAGCTGAGCACAGGAGCAGAGATGGGGCTGCAGTACAAAGACAAGTGTCAGATGTTTGGGAGTACATGGTTGTGTCCTGGAATACAGGTGTATGTGCACTGCTGTCTACTAAATAGCATTAATTCCTCAGTAGTAGTAGTAATCCCTCCCCTCCTCAACACCTTGGTTTGAGTGCAAACCCCAGCCACTTCAGTGCCTGCTGCTCCTTGCCCTGGGGCTGCAGAGCAGGAGCCTCCAAAGCCAGTCATCTGCAGAGATGTTGCACCAGCTGCTGGAACTGCTCCCGTTGCTGGTAGATGTAGAGCTGGGTGTCCCAGAGAGCATCCACCAGCACGGCGTCGCTCACCTCATCCAGCATCACCTCCGTGTGCAGCTGGGGGCTGAGCCTGCACACAGCAAGAGAGCATCACCAGCTGGGCACAGACAGCAACGGGGCAAGGCTGGGGCCAGCACAGGGCTTGGGTGAAGTGGCTCTTTTGAAGAGCTTCCCCTTCTTCAAAGCCCAGCCACGCTCAAGCTCAGCGATGGCACCACCTAAAGCACGAGCCTCAAGAGATGGTGGAACAGGGGGGGCAGGATGCACACCCCAAAGGTCCCTGTCAGACACCAGCCCCGCCTCAGCCCAGGAGATGCTATTTGGGATGCCATGGCCAGGTCTGAAGGGAAAGGGATTAAAAACAGCTCTGTGGAGGGAACAGAGAGGAAGCTCCTACCGGAAGTAGGCGACATCGGTCATCTCGCACCAGGCCCTGGCACGATCCACAGCTGGGCCATCTGCATCCGTGCACTGCAGGAGAAACAGGCCACTGGCCCCCTGCCCACCCCCTGCCCAAAAGAGCCCCCCCTGACACCCAACAAACTGCACGAGCTCGGAAAACCGGGCGCAAGCACACCCTGGGTGGCACCGGTCGCCGTCGAGAGGGAGTCGGCTGTTGATTCTTTGGGGTCTTTTTGGTTGGGATGGTTTGGTTGGTTGGTTGTTGGGTTTTTTTGGGGATAACAAAACTTTTCTAGAGAAAAATTAGTTGCTGTTTGCTGAGGTGTGATTTTTAAATTATTTTTTTGTTTTGGTCCAGGTTACTTGGAGGATAATCAACACTCCTTGGAACAATACAAACTCATAGCTGCAAATGCTCCTGAGGGTCACTGACCACCACCCTGTCCTCAGCTCCCTCCAGCTGCAAGAACCTTTCTGGGCACTCAAAACCCCCAAGAGGCAGACAGGGCTCTAGACCCACTGTGCTCCTCAATCCTTCATCTACTCACTGTGTCCATTCCTCGAACTGGCCACAGGCAGAGCAGATCCAAGGAAACGTGATTTTCTTCCCAAAGGAAGAAGCTAAAGACCAGGAACCTTTGCAAACAGCCCCAGGGGTCCTCCCCCACGCCCTCCTCCCAACACTCACACAATCCACCACCATCTTGCCGAGCTCCCTGGCTCCAAAGACAGTCTTGGCCAGTTCCCAAGGGTTGGTGGGGCGGAACACATCCACAGAGCTCACCGGGACCTGGGGAGGTTTCCCTGTCCCCAGGGAGACCACCAACCCCAATTTTCTCACTTCCTGCTTCTGACCCTGTGGACAAACAGAAGATTTGTTTGCAAGGACCAACAAGGATGTCTTTTCACAGCAGGCTTGTGGAAGCTCTGGAAGCCAGGGCAAGAGGCTCAGTAGCCTTTTGTCTCCCACATCTTCCCCCTTCAGTTCTGCCTGGTGAGACAGGTACAATCCGTGCGACTTCAACCCTTGGATTGTTCTGCCCCTTACACCCCTGGCTGCACCCAAACCCCTGGGAGCACCACAAAGCTGAGCCCTAGGGCAAGATGACTGTGAACCAGTCAACTGTTCCAGTCATTTTGGCAACACAGCTCCCCTTGTAGCTAAACGGAGCAGTAGCTGCCAGTAGTTAGTCATTTTTCTGAGCAACTTGCCACGCCACAGAAGGCATTCACTCTTCAGCCTTGAAGAGCCTTGCCGTTGTCTTCTCCATTTATTTTTGGGCAGAAAAAGGCCCCACTGGGACGAGTTGTGGGCCACACACAACCATCAACCAAATCAAAACAGCAAGGACAGACTGATGGGGCTGCCTCCCCTCCTCCCACCCTTCTCAGAAGGAGCATTTCACCCCTCAGCCACCATTCCCAACGCACATCCTTCTCCACACGCTCCCTTCTAGGCTGGCTCCAGCAAGCAAATAAAGCCCCAGTGACCAGTCAGGGGCAAAATTTCCATCACCTTCTTAAGGAGGGTCTTGTTGTACTCGTGGATCTCCGCCATGGCATCAAGGGTGGGGTTGTTGGCCAGCAGCCCACCATCCAAAAAGCGACCGATGGGCCTGAAGTAGGTGGGAGCCGCGCCACTGCAGCGGGCAGCACGCCACACCAGCTGCTCTGGAGGGAGAGAAAGCACAGGGCCCCTCTTGCAGCAGCTCTCCTGTCTGCCAGGAGCACCCCACCTTCACCAGCACAAAGCAGGAGGACTTGCAATCCCAGAAGACCCTGCCCTAGACGGTTGTGGCCCTTTCTCCCAGCTGTAGGGTCTCTGCTTGGATATATTGGATTATTTTGGGGGGTGCTTTGAAAGATGTTCTCACCACTTTCTGTGTAGCCTGGGTCAAATTCACTCTCTACCATCTTCGTTGCTGCTATTTTGATGGTGAACCAGTTATGTTTGCTAGGCAAAGAAAGAAGCAAGCTGGAGGGGGCTGCATGCTTCTGTTATACATTTTTTTTTTGTGTTAATCTGCTCCTGAGAGCCCAGAGAAAGGCACTGCTGGCACACAGGACTACTCTAGCAGACCCTTTCTTCAAGAACCTTCCTAGCCAGCCCCTGGTACAAGAGAAGCCAAGGGCAGAAGAGAAAGCAGAAAAAGGAATCACCACAAGGACCAAGCTACAAGTCAAGATAGGGATAAGCCATTGCTGGGACCTCCTGATTTTCAGAGCAACGGGAAGAAGAACAGGAAATCTTCTCTCTGAGGGACAGCCCCGTTTCCCTGCCAACCATCTGGACTGCTGTGTGCCAGCATTTACCTTCTGGCCGAGTGAGTGGTTTGAAAGATGCACTTGTCTTGTATTCAGTGGAGACTTTTGTCTCTGGTACGGGGTAATTTCGGAAAAGGTGGAGCTCAGCAGGCTGCCGGTCACACAAAGTCCCTGTCACCATCACCCTAGGGAGAAGACATGACAGAAGAAGAGTAAAATGTCAAAAAAACCACAATATTTATGGTTTCGATAGTCCACACGTCACCCTCCTCCAGCTCTGACCTAGGGAGAGGCTCAGCTCTGTGCTGAGAGGGGTCTAGAGCACACTCAGGAGAGCATCGAGCAGCGCAGCCCCACGCAGGACTTACTTCGGTTTTCGGACATCTGTCATTTTGGTGTTTTCCCCAAATTCCTTCTTCAGGAACTCATCCAGGGGCTCTGACTCGTAGGGCCGAGCCCCCCGGAACACCATGTCCTTCATGCGGAAGTACAGGCAGCGCATGTAGTCCATGGGCTTCCCTGAGATGGGCAAGGGCAGGAGCAAGAGGCAGGAGGAAGGGCAGGCAGAACAAAGAGCACATCAGAGCCAGGACCTTCCAGGACCAGCGGGAGATGGGAGGCTTCACTCCCAATCCCATCCCCTTCCCCAAGCTGCCCCTCGTCTGCTCAGACCTCAGCAGCATGACTGGGAGGGATTAAAGAGGAAGGGCAAGCTTGGGGCATAGTTTCCCACTGTCAGGAAGTGTGGATTGCCACCTTGCTGGAAAAGCCCCGTGGAGAGATCAAGAAGAACAGAACGTTGCACTCTGCCACCACACACCTCCCAAAAAAAAAAAAAACCCCAGCAGGAAGCTGCCCAAAGCCAGCTGAGGTGAGAAGTGAGCGCAAAGCCACCTCTAGGCCTTCCTTCACTAACATCCCTCGGAAAGGATGACCCATCTCAGCTGGGATTCAGAGAGGCAGCTCCCCAGAAGTGCCCAGGGAAGTGCCATGGGGCCTGTTGTTTGCAGTGTCCTTACCATGGACAATAGCCAAGGCCAAGATCCCCCCAGTGCTGGTCCCCGCGATCCAGTCGAAAATCTCCCGCACAGGCCGGCCCGCGGCCTTCTCAATAGCCAGGAGGAGCTGGATGAGCACCAGCCCCCTGATGCCCCCTCCATCCAGGCACAGCAAGCGGTCCTGACTGGGGAAGAGACAGACACGGGTGACTGGGAGCTGTGGGACAGCTTACAGATCACAACACGGATGGGAAACCACGCCAGCAACGGGGACGGTGCTGTGGAGAGGGTAATCAGGGGACAAATCAATCCAGTGGTGCTTCCTCAGAGGCCAGCAGGGCTGCACGTGGCCAGAGAAGCCTTGGCAGAGCTGGTGCAACACCATTTGCTCCTCAGCCACCTCTAACCTCTACACCAGAGAGGTGTGGAAACGCATCCAAGTCCCTCAGGATGCAGCATCAGATATAAAAAGCAGACCGGCCCGAGTTCCTGCTAGCAGCACCTCAGTGCCAAGCCCTCCTCTGCTCCACACAGGACGAGGTGCAGCCACTGCCAAGGAGCCAGGTGAGCAGCAGGGCAGCGTGTGGAGACGGGGCACTCACAAAGCCCAAACAGCAGAGAAGGAGGGGGACAGAGCAGGGGCTTCACCTGCTCAGCTCGGGCTCTGCTGCAGGCAGGGGCAGGCAGGGGTTGGGTTGCTTACAGGAACAGAGATTTATCACGAGGTTCTGGCAAAAAACTGCAAGATGAATGGATGTTAAATAGAGTCAGCTCTGAGGATTCCAGGCTCACGGGTGTGGGTGGGGAGAATTCACACCCAGGGACTTCACCTTCACCTGGCACAGGAGCCTGGATAGAGGCTGCTCCTCACTTACTTTCTTCCACTCTCGTGGGGTGAGTCCACAATATCTGGTGCCTTCAACAACTGTCCAAGTGTTGCAGAAACATACATAAGGTCCTTGTACCCTAGAGGGCCACGAACATGCAAAAGGGGAAAAAAAAATTAGAGACCGCTCTGCTACCTGAACCCTCCAATGAGTGCCTTGGAGACAGCAGTCAATTGAATCATACTTCATCAATTAGAAAGCCTTCAATCATTCTTTCTGCTTTCTCTCTGCCCCTAGAAAGCTTGATCAGGGTAGTCAAACCTCTCACCAGTGCAGCAAACAATTTCCACCACAATCACACAGAGAACATCCAGCTCCCTTCGCAGCCTTCCCTGCAGGAGACACAACCCATCTTGCCCATACTCACCAGGTACCCCCCCAATTAAACTCCACACCACAGAGGAGAAACCCCATCCTTTAGAGCAGGCAGCTGGAGATGCACTGGCAAAGATGGAGGGATTTGTAGAAGCAGATGATGAGCACAGGAGGCTGAGAGAGGAGGCAGAGCCTAGCAGCGTGCCCACTAGGCAGTTTACTGCAAGCTGCAAGATAAAACCTAGATCTACTCCTGAGAGGTAACCTAGGCAGGAGAGCTGTGGGGACAGGGTGGCTTGTCATTACCCCTCAGGTGACGTACACCCAGGCCACCCTGGGGGTGGGACACCAATCCAGGCTAGGTGAGAAGTGAGCCTGCAAAACCAAAAGAAGAAAGAACAGGGGGAGGGGAGTTAAATACTCTTGCCAGCGCCCAGGAAGGTGGCTGTGGATGGCAATGAAGGTGTGAGGAGCTTCTTCAAGGGCCAGAGCCCATGACAAAAGGCCTTGCTGTGTCACTGTGTCAGAGCTGAAACTGGGGGAGCTGTCTTCACAAGGCCACAGTGAGAAGAAAGTCCCAGTGTCATCAGCCACCGAGAGTTGGGGTGACAGAGCCACGCTCCAGGGCTGGGGGGGACTGTCCTCTAGCCCCAAAGGAGGGTCTTTGCAAAGGAAACCACCAACCTGAGAGGGAAGTGGACCACAAGTGGCTGTCACCTGCCTGCACGCCCCTCTCAAGAGGGTCAGAGCCACCTTCTAACCCAACTCACCCACTGCCCACTCTGTAACCCCTGCCAGTGCCTCTGCCCAAGCTCTGGAGCTCCCTGAAGGAGGTGGGCCTGGCACCTAGAATAGACCCAGGGGCTTATTCACAAGGTCTGGGCAGTCCAGAACACAAGCTATGACACAGTCATATGTCCTAGGATAGGCTTTTCCTACGTGTAACATAAACCCTGTGACCAGGGTCACTCATCCTCAGGCTTCACCCCTTCCCTTCTGCCAACTGCTGGCCTCCAGGATCTGAATGAGCAATGCTTCTGATCTTGTGCCCAACATGACACTGGGAGGTCCTCAAGGCAGACCAGCAAGTATCTCCACTTCTGTAAACGACCCAGTGGATAAAGCACACGCATACAACCAAGTCCTGCATGCAACCAAGTCCTGCACCTCTTCCAAAGGGGTGAGGGAATCAGTCCTCCCCTTCCGTTTTACAGAGCCACCCTGTGTCAGGTCTATCCAACACAAGTTTGGAGTACAAGAGTTTAGAGTACACACAGAGGAAAAGCAGGGAAAAGAGATGGGATCCTGCAACAGCTGAATGAGGACAGAGTCAGCAGAAAATGAGAGCTAGGAGACAATCCTAGAAGAGAACTGAGACAGCACTGTGAAACAAGATGGGAGGAGAGGGAGGGAGGGCCAGGGAAGGCTTTACCTAAGCTGTTGAAGCTGCTCCGGGAGGAAGGTTGGCCTTCCAGGAGGGAGGAGGAGGAGGATGGTGCCAGGCTTGGGGAGGCAGGGATGGGTGGGTGGCAGCGTTCGGTCCCTACAGTTTGCAGCAGGTTTAAGAGCACTTCCCGGTTTGCACCTTAGGTGACGAAGGGGGAGTCACAGATCAGAGAGAGAATCAGTGCACACACACGCCGAGGGGAGCCCTGCCCCTCACAAAACCTTGGGGGGTGGCCTGGGGAAGGGGCAAAGCGTGTCCCAGGTGTCTCTGCCCAAGCACCAGGCAGCAGGACTCGTGCACAGCAGCGGTGCCCAACATGGTGGCTGAAAAGAGGGGGATTGAACGCCAGCTTTTCCTCTTGCATCTCTGCCTCCCAGAAGAAAACTCCACCAAGGGCTGTGAATGCAAAGCCTGTTGCTGCTAGTGAGCGACTAGAAGCTGGGGAAGCACGTTGGAGAAGCATCACCCAGGCTTGCTGTGTTTTTACCTCTCCCCAAAGCACTGTTTTGGCCACCAGGGGAAGGCAGGGTGCCAGGCTTGCGCCCTAACACTGCTGCCATGCTCCCTCACCTTTGCTGCTCCTGGCTGCCAACAGCCCCGGCGTCTCCCCGAGATCATTGGGGATTTCCACATCTCCTCCAAACACCACAATGGCTTTGATCATATCCAGGTGGTCATGCTAGAGCACAAGAGAAAACTCAAGGTGAGAGCCACGCTCCCTTCAGCTACACGATTTCTCATTCCCTCCCCCTTTTTTCACCAGGAAGGGATCACCCCGTGAAGGCAGACACCCAGAATTTCCAAGGAGCCTGCATGAACCCTTTAAGCAAACCCTCTCCCTCTCCTTCCCAGCAGCCTCTGTGGAAAAACTCACCCTCATGGCCAGGTGCAGGGGCGTGTTGCCCCCCTGGCCCCTGGCGTTGGCCTGTGCCCCGTGTGTCAGCAGCACCATGGCGCAGTCGAAGCGTCCCCTCTGGACGGCGACGTGCAGAGCTGTGTCCCCTGTCCCGCTGCTCACGTTCACCTCAGAGCCATGCTCCAGCAGCAGCCGGGTCATCTGCGCCCCAGAGGGTATGGGCCAGGTCAAGAAGACACAAAGAGACCCTGAGGACAGCTGGCTGGGTGCCCAAAAGACCCAGGTCTCACGGCAAGCAAAGCAGGGGGAGGCAAGACCCTTTGCCTGGCTGGCAGGTGGCAGTTGCACTGTTCCAAGAGCTCAAGATGGGACTTTCTCAGCCTTTTACCACAGAACTAGTTGGTGGTTTCACAATCTGGCTAGAGCTCCTGGATGTTTTGGGACTTAGACACAAGTGTAGCAACTGGCTGACAGCAATGGAGAAAAAACAGGGCAGAATTCTTGCCAACTAGGGGGGGGAAGTTTGCTTTTTATCTTCTCTTTCTAAGCCAAGCAGATTTGTGTCTGCTCTGAAACACCACAGGACATTTATCAGAGGGATGTGAGATACTGCAGGAGAGGAAACAGTCCTGCCATAGGAATGTCCTCTGCTGGCAACAAGCACCACTTAAGTGCCCCAGCGTGGTGTATCACACCACTGACCTGCCCACCTCAGGCAGAAGATGGACCACAACCCACGTGCCACCACCCTGTGCCTACCTCTCACCCTCCCTGCCGTTTTCAAGGCATCAAGCTGCTTCCTTCTGAGAAACTGTCAGCAATGAGGAGAGCTCCCCCCAGGGGTAACAGTGCCACTGCTGCCATTTCCCTAACAAAAAGGGAAAAGGGACAAGCTGGCAGTTCTACAGCAGATAAACTAGGGATGTCACAGCAAAGACCCCACTGCTCCAGCCCCCAGGGTAATGAGAACCAAACGCTGGGCTGCTGGCTGGGCCCCAGCACTGCCAGAGCTCTGCACAGGGGCTGAGGAAAGGGAGAGGGCAGCAGCAGGAGGAATTGAGGGCGGGCTGGGTGGCAGCACCTCACCACAGCGTGGCTCATTTACCTCTGCCTTCTTCGCCCAGTGCAGAGGAATGGCTTCGTAGCGAGGGTCCTTGGAGCCAACCTGGCTGGCATCCACCTCGAGGATGGCCTGGGCACACCTGGCAAAGACAAGGAGATGAAGGGCTGGGTGCCTGCTGAGAGCTCCACTCACACCAGCACCTGCCTTCCACCCAGAGCCTCACAGGAAGCCCCTCAGCAGCAGCAGACTCTCTGCAACACCTACGAGTTCCTCAGCTCCAGTTTTGTTTTGGTTTTGTTTTAGAAAGGAAGGGAGCAGCAGGAAGCACACAAGCAGCACAGTGCTGGGAGGAAGCAGGAGAATCCCTTCCCAGATCCAAGCTGTGGAGCAACATCTGGGTGCTTCTCCAGTACAGCAATATGGCATTTCTGGAAACTCTCAAGACTTGAGGGGAAATTTTCCTCTTCTCCCTCTTTCTCTGTAAAAATGGGGATAAAACTGAAATAGTTCAATACTTGCTGAAATTAACAATCTGTGGACTTCACTACAAGTGGAAAAATTCAGACTTATTGTGACTAGACACATCATGTCTCTTTTAGATTTGGCTCCAGAGCGTGTTATTAAGAGTCAAGAGTAAATACAGATAAACAATACAGATAAACTCAGGGAAAACCTTTTTTTTTCCTGAAATTACTTCTTTCTTGTCCACACCAGCAGTTCTCTGTTCTTTTTCCGAATTGGTGATGCAGCACAAGACATAAAATCAACAAATGCTTGAGGTTGTAAGGGACCTTTCAAGGTTATCTAGTCCAATCCCCCTGCAGGGAGCAGGGACATCTTTAAGTATTTGAGGTTGCTCAGAGCCCTGTCCAGCCTGATCTTGAATGCTTCCAGGGATGGGGCTTCTACCACCTCTAGGCAACCTGTGCCAGCGTCTCATGACCCTCAGTGTAAAAATTTCTTCCTTTTATTTAGTGTGAATCTTCCCTCTTTTAGTTTAAAACCATCAGCCCTCATCCTGCCACAGATCTGCTCCAACAAGTCCACGTCCTTCTCACGCACCAAACAATCCACCCATCAAATCTGCACCTCTCCAATTCAGAGAGAAGGATGCTAAGGGGGGGACTGCATCAAAGGCTTTCCACAAGTCCAGAGAGACGACATCCACATCTCTCCCAACATCTTCCTACCAACTACTGCCCTGCAAGGGGAGCCTGAGCCAGCAGACAAGTTCCCAGGCTGGAGGAAGAGCTCTGTTCCAGCAGCCCAAGCAGCTCCTTACCCCTTCTGGGAGAACTTCAGTGCAGTGTGGATGGGGTAGCCCAGGGTCCCCACGACATTGCAGCTGGCACGGCACCTCAGCAGGGACTGAACCATGTCCTCCTTGCCCAGCTGACAAGCCAGATGCAGAGCAGTCAGCCCAGCGTGGCTCAGGTGGTCCAGGCCACAGGTTGGGGTTCCACCCAGGAGCTGGGAAGAGGAGATAAAGAGATAAATAAAATAGCACTGTCTCTTCCCAGGCTCTGAGAGCAGGCTGTGGAGCACAGGGTTCCTCACAAGGCCACAGCCTGTCCTCTCCACTCTTGCTTTCAGCACAAGAAGTGCTCCTTGTCTGCTGTCCCCACAGGGTCTCTGTGTCCTCTTCCTGTGAGCTGAGTGCTTCTGAGACACCCCTCAACCCAAAAGGGCTCACACCACCTTGAGCAACACAGCCCAGAAGACTGCCAACGAGAGCCAAGCTCAGCCCCCACCCAGTGAGAGCACCAACTGGAACCAGGAGTTTCTTCTCCTGCTGTGGCCCCAGCAGTTACCACAGACAGGCAGCAGCTCAACCTCCAGGAATTTAGTTTCCCTTCTCTGGTTTGGCAAGGAATCAAGAGAGAAAATAGACAAGCAGAAGACAGATCAAACCTGGAAGCTTTTCTGCAACAACAAGCCAAGATGCTGCCAATAAATAAAGGCAGAAGATAGCTTTTTAATAGAAAAGTCCTAACTGCCCTGCCCCCCAGCACAGCAAGCCCCAGTCGACATCCCTCCCCGCCCCCCACAGATTAGGAAAGCCCAGCAGAGCTTAGCAGACAGAGGGAGGACTGTCACAACAGGCATTGGGCAAACGTGAGGGGTGCAGCCACAGGGGAGAGTCAGCCTCGTGCTTGCACTGGGTGCTGGGGAGCTGACACACTGAGGAACCAAGGTGCAAGGCCACCACGCCCCTCTGAACCCTGTCACTCTGCCCAGGCCTTCTCAGCAATCAAGGAGGCCTCTGGCTTCAGACTGTCTTGAGGCCCTGATCCATGTCCCCTGTGCAAGGCCACTCAGCTCTAACAACAGGTTCTGCAGCTCAGGAGAGCCCAGGGAGGTCTGAGCTGTCCCTCAGTCTGTGGGCAACACACGTTGCTCCATGGGAGCACTTTGCCCCAAAACAAACACCCTGCTTGGCAGAGATGGAGGGAGGAGAGCCTGAGGAAAGGCAAGGTGAAGGCCTGAAGCAGACAGCAACCATAGAAACATTAAGGCTGGAAAAAACCTCTGAGGTCAAGTCCAGCTGTCAACTCAACACTACCATGACCACTAAGCCATGTCCCAGAGTGCCATGTCGACATGTTTCTGAACCCCTCCACGGATGGTGACTCCACCTCTTCCCTGGGCAGCCTGTGCCAGTGCCTCACCACCCCTACATTAGAGAAATTCTTCCTAACATCCTCATGTTTTAATGAAGGACAGTTTCTGGGGAAACTTGCTTAATATCCTTGTTGCAGGGTAGAATCTGGAGCCTGCTTATGGGCAACAGCACCAGTAAAGGGGGAAGAAGCAGAAATCAGCCTCGAGCATTAACTGCATGCTGCAGCAAAGGAAACTCCTTTCTCATCCCCTGCCTCCAGCTATTTTCCTATCATCTTCCCCCCCACCCTCACAGCACAGAGAAGACCCGTTCAAGCCCCACTCCCTTCTCAGCTTTAAAAAAACCACCCTCACCTCAACGATCTGGGGGTTGTTGCCTCTCACGGCGTAGTGGAAAACGGTCTCCCCGTTGCTGTCGGTGAGGTCCACCCTGGCGTGGCACTCCAGGAGCTCCAGCAGGCACTCCACGTCCCCCCTGCGGCAGGCCAGGTGCAGGGGGGTGCACCCCTCCTCGCTGTCCCTGCTGTTCACACAGCTGCAAGAGATGGCTGGAGGTGAGGCCACCCAGGGCCACCAAGAGGAGGCCCCGGGGCCGCCCCCGAGGGACCTTCCGCGCCCCCAGCCCGGGGGGAGCACGGGGGTGC